TTCCGGAATCACCTCAACGGTGCCACCCAGACACCATCTCGACAGATCCTCCATGGGCCAACCTTAGTAAAGATCGTTGCAGAACTTTTCCCATATTACAAAAGCGCCGTCCCTGGGATTCGAACATGGGATCTGCCCATAACGTTTGGTGAGGGTGACAACTAGACCACTTCACTAAGTCGCCACACCTGCTGCCGTACTATTATATAAATATACTTATAATAAAAGTATATATAAAACATTAAAATTAGGTATAAAAATACTTGTTCTTTAAAATAAATAGATATAAAAAAATTTGTAAACCTCATCTGGTTTTGAATAATGCTTTTGAATATCTTCTAATCATTCAGACTGTTTGGGTCTTAAAAAAAAATCAATAAGGCGTTTTGCCCGACCTACTAAAACTTCAACAGGTTTTAATCCTTTTCCAATTATCAATTGCAAAGTATGTGCTATACATGGTTGCCAGGTTATGTTTTCTGCTGAATATTTTAATTCCTTAATAGCTTTTTGCATATTTTGATCATTATCAGTTGTTATCATAAACACCTTATCATATAGCTCTAATTCATCTAATAATGCAAGAATGCTATCTTCAATATTTTCAGCAGTATGTGGATAGCAAATATATTCGACAGAAAGTATAACTTTATGAAATTGAAAATTATTATCTAAGTATGAACAAGTTATGCCTAAATAACCTTGTCTATTTCTTTCAGGCCAGAGATCATATGTTAAAGATACTGATATAGCTTCTTTTTTTAACTTTTCATTTACTAACAGGAAAGAATAATTATATGCAATATGAATAAGTTTTTTAACATATTTAGTATTTGGAATTTGAAATTTAGAATCTAATTCTGCTATAAATTTTCTAAAGGCTTTATTTTGAAGAATTGTAAGTGGTTAAAAATTATTTATAATCCAATCTACAAGGTATTGACACAATTAAAGTTGTCGTAATTCATTATGAGGTGTATTGGAAGAAACTAGATTAATATTTTCTTGTTTTTCAGTTATACCATGAATGTTATTAAGATGAGTAGAGCAATTACTAGTAGATGTACCGATTTTGTATTTTATACCACATTTTATTCCATTTACTTTTACAACTTGACAAATAGCAAATCTTATACCTTCTTCATATTCTGGTTTAAAATAAAGCCAGATCCAGCTTCTAACAGCATTACCTCTATGAGTATCATTATATTTAGTTTTTTTAGATGATACTTCATTAGATGATACTTTGTTAGATGATACTTTATTAGATAAAACTTCATTAGATGATGTTTCATTAGTTGATACTTCAATATTTTCTTTATTGTGAAGCAACATCTTATTAAAGAGTATTATAGACAGAAATAGAAGTACTATATTTAAAGTATATAAAGAGGTAACAAGAAATGTAAATTATAAGCTTTTGAAAATTTAAAAATATGCAAATACGATCTTTGTTATTAATATATAGCCCAAATTTGAGATGCTTTAATGTTTTTTTTTATTTGATTATTCTCATACTAATTTTTTTATTCTATTTCATGTAAATTTGAATTTTCTCAGAATTTTTATGCATTCTAATACAGCTTTTGGCATTATTATTATGAATTTATAACTTTACTTTTTAGGTTAGCAGAGCATATGCCTTCTAGGTCATAGTACCAACAGTTTGAATGGTGTTACAACTAGTAGGAAATCTTGAACAATTTAGCTTTGATTATGAACAAATGGTGGTTAAGATTAGATGATTTATATCGATAAACTAACACACATAACTACAGGTTAAGGTTTCTCTTTATATATAAATCAATATACCAGAATATTACAATAATATTAAATACTAATAATAACCATTAACAATTGTTTATAATTGTCCTCCTTCCTCATAGTTAGAAATTACATCTTTATATATACCTTTAATTTGTATGGGAGTTTTAATCAGTCGATTAAAGCTTTAATCAGTCGATTGGAGCTTTAATCAGTCGATTGAAGCTTTAACCAGTTATTAGGAAATTTAATCAGCCATTTGGAATTTAATCAGTCAATCATGTACAAACTATACTAAAATAAGAAATTTATAAAATGATAATAGAATAATATGAGACTAACTAAAAATAATAACAACAGATTGAATGGATTAAATAGTTGAACAGATAATTTGCAATTTGTTTGTTAAAAAAACTTGTATAAAGAGTTCGATATTATCATTCTGAGCCAGTTTATATTACAATTAGGAGTATCACCTAAGCTGATTATCCTAATGAAGTATTTAAAATACCAGTAGTATTTGTCATAAATATGAAACTGATATAAAAAAAATTTCAAATTTAAATTGAAAAGAGCTAGAGTATAATAGGTTTACTAATTTCTCCCTACACTTCATATTGGACGAATATAAATAACATTTCTATTGGATAAAACCAATTACATCACTAATCAGAGTGGCTAAAAATTTCGCAATGATTACATATTGATTAAATTTTTTTTAATTAAATAATTCTTTTCGTTGTTTAATACTAATGTTTGCTCTTTTGAGTTTTTTTTTTTTTTAAAAAAGTTCTTTTCACTGTTTAATACTAACATTTTGCTATTTTGAGTTTTAGCACTTCAAATTTTTTTAGTAAATAATTTTGTGTATATGATTAAATAAATTTTTGCCGTAAAAATTTATCATATTATGTAAAAAAATTTTTAATTGAAATGCTTTAATTATACTGCTATATGAAAATCCGAAAACAAAATAAGTATTTATTTTTTTTTTATGGTGTATAAAAATTTACTAATTATTTAGCAACTTAGCAGTAACATATATTTTCAGAATTACTAATTAGCAAAACTAGCACCTATTACAGTATTGTATCAAGGTTACTGTACGATTTCTGAAAGCTATTTCCTGAAAGAACATTATACTGGCTAATTATTTTTTTTCTTTTGAGAACTTGAGTTACATTATTATTGTATTAGTATTAGAACAAATCTATTAATTAGCACTTTGTCATAGCATTTATTTATCTGCAATAGTATCAATATCAATAAAAATGTACTTGGAACATTCAAAAGTTTGTGTCAATTAATTATTTTTTAAAGTAAAAATTGCAGAAATTGTATTTTAAAATTACAAGCTTGTAAATGTAGGTCTCGGCAAATTTTATTCTCTTGAGAATAAGGTACCAAACAAAAACCTTATGAAAAATTACCTTTGTTTTAAATTTGATTTTTTTTTTTTACTAGCAGAAAGAATTTAGAAAGTTTATAAATAAAATACTTTTGCTTAAAAAAATATTTTGAATATATATTTTTTTTGAAGAAAAATGATGTTTTTTGATTTTGTGATGGTGCATGATCAAGTTTGTCTGGGATTTCATGCATCCAATCACAACTGTGGGGAGAAATTAGGGCTTCCGGTCTTTAACTGGGTACAATAGGTAAAATTTTATACCCGAGTATACTTGTCGATCACTCGGTTAACCCGCGGGTATACTTGCCGGTTAACCGGTTAACGTTTTTTTTTGACCGAGTACAATCACTAGTTGTATGAAACCTTTTTTGAGAATTTGGTATTGTGGGGTTGTCTTGCGTTTTCAAAAACTTGTAGACTTCTGTCCAGATTGACTTACTTATTCTACACTCTACAGCAAAATGTTCTGGGGTCTGGATGCTATCCTCACACCAAGGACAGGCTCCTGACTCCAACTGAGATATCCGTTGAAGCCTGTATCCCAGTGGCAAGGCCTTATAGGTGAGTCTCCATGTAATATCTCTCTTTTTATTATCAATACCTCTACAGGTAATCCAGTCCATTGGAGTATTTTTTTTGAGTATAAAGAGAAATTGTGCTGGACAAATCTCTCAAAAGGTTTACTAGGTCTTTAGTTCAAAGATCACTACTTCTTTTCTTTTTTATGTATATATTCTTCCTGGACCAAGGCCATGATGAAAGGGAGGAGCACTTTATTCCAGGCTAGCACAAAAGGTTTCCATTCCAATGGCCAAGCTTTGGTAATACTGTGGTATTTCTTTTATCACTTAAGGATTGTGTAATCTTTAATCTTTCTATTTTTGCTCATATAGTATCTCCTGTTAACAGCTTTAGCCATGTTGTGATCATCCTGGCCTCTAGCATATTCCCAACTATTGGGGCTTAAAGACCACCTTTTTCGTAAGAGAGCTGATAGGTCGCGTATCTTGGAATTAAAATTCTACCCTTGAAGAAGAGATTTCTTGCTGCTAATTTGGAAAGTGTATCCTTAAGTTTGGTAATTGTGGAGGATCATAAATCTTTCTTTGGTTGTCCATTTGTATAAATTTCATATCCTAGTAGCTTGAAGGTATCTATCTCTTCTATGACCTTAAAATCAATTATGTCTGGGAGATTAGCTCTTCTTGCCATTATTGTAAGTGGTACAATTTTCGTCTTTTGGTTATTAATTTTTGCACTTGAGGCCTTTTCATATAAGTTAAACAACCTTCATATTTCGAGCCAATCTGATGAACTTCCTATTCCTATTGTTAAATCATCTGCATAGGCTATAGATTTGAATGTCTGATTGTATGAGGATATGCCTTGAATGTTTTTGTCAATTGCTTGGAGCAAGGGTTTGAAGGCCAGAATGTAAAGTAGTAGCGAGAGAGGGTCTCCCTGCCTTACCCCTCTTTCTACTCTAAAAGGTTCTGATAAAGAGCCTGATTCAAATATATGAGCTTCCTGGTTAGTGAAGAGGTTTTCGACCAAATTTCTGAATTTCAGGTTAAGGACTAATTGTAGGAAGGTATGATCTATGCGATCAAAAGCTTTTTGTTAAAAGCCAATGTTGCTTGGTGAGGTTAGTCTGATTTCTTATTATTGTAAGCAATCGAAACCCTGTTGGTAAGCCAAGATTATCAGGCTGCAAATTCTATTTAATCTGGTGGCTATAATATAATCTTCATAAAGATCTTGGCATCACAGTTTACCAGAGAGATCAGTTTGCTTATAGAACTCGTATGTAAGGCCATCCAGCCCAGGAGATTTGTTATTTGGAAGTTTTCTAATCGTCTTGACTATTTCTTCTCATGTAATTTCCCTTGAAAGTTCTGCATTTTCCAAGGGTAGAATAGTAGGAAGATCATTTGCCAAAGTTGTTGCTGCATCTAAATCGATACTTTCCTCTTTGTAAAGCTTTGCGTATTGTTCTTTGATGTATTGCAGAATTTGATCATTGTCAAACTTAGGTGGAACTTCATGGTCTCTGATATCTTTGAGTGCTGAGCAACTTGTTCTGGACTTATATCTTGAAAAAAAATATCTTGTCGACTTTTCTCCCTGCTCCACCCAACTAGCCTTGGAGCATGTTTTCCATCTGTCTGCTAGTTGTAGCAGTTCATCCTGAATTTAAAGATTTAAGTTATTAACCATTGTATGTAGATGAATTTTTCTTTTGATTTGTTTATTTTCCTATTTAGGAGAGCCAGACTGCTTTCTGGAGCTTTGGGCTTTCTGCAAGCTCTTATAATTGATTGAATGCATATTTTGTGTCAGTCCCAGTCTGCTACCAAGTTAAAGGATTGAATTTCTGCTATGACCTCTTTTTCTATGAGTTTATTTTTAAAACAGTGTTTGTTAAATCTCCAAGATGTTGGACTCTTTGGTTTGTCATTAAGATTTAAGGTGCATTTGACTATCAAGTGATCTGAGTTGCCAAATAATATATGAAATTTTCATCAATGAAGATATAGTCTAATCTGGTAGCCATAGTTTGGTTGTTCTGTGTGTTCTAGAAGAAAGTTAGAAAGGGTTGTTCTCTTCAAAAGATGCTGAGTCAACAAAATTGTTAGTAAGTCTTTTAAGCTGTATGTGCGTTGTGTCTGATTGTGCTAATGCTTGACTAACTCAGTTTGTCTCTGGATTTATATTGGTGTTAAAGTCTCCACCCAATATATTTATCGATTCTTCATCATAAAGTGGTGTCCACCTTTCAAAGAATTCACTTCTGTCCTTACTATTTGGAGGAGTATAAACATTGGTGACTTGGAAGAGATAATTCTTATAAGCAATTTTTTGTTGATATGACTCTTCCTCTGTGGGATATCCGAGAGTTTGAAAGTTTTATGTCTTTCTTGCTAGCTAATATAGCCGTTTTGTCAGCCCAAACTGAGTCAAATGGCCATTGTCTTTTAAGGAAGTCCTTTGTATTCTGGTTTTCTGTATTTGTTTCTTGTAAAAGAATTATGTCTAATTTATATGATTTCAGTAAAGTTAAAGTTTTCCGTTGTTTTTCTTGATTGTTTAACCCTTTTACATTAAGGGTTGCTATATAAACTTTTTTTTTACTATCATAAAAACTATTCTAATTAAGTGGGGATAAATGCCCCCTCTAGCCCTTTTGTATAGAGAAGTTTTTATGTAAACTTGTCTGACTTTGTTGTTAATGGTTTTTTTTTTGTTTCTTCTTATTCAACACCAGGATGAAGCCCTCTTCATCAGCTTCCATTGGTTCATTGTCATAAGACTTAGAGGATTTTCTTTGATTCTTATAAGCTTGAATAGGATTATTTAGTGTAAGCTCATCTCTTGAAATAATCAGTTCCTGGGACTCTTGGGAGTTTAGTTCTGGAGATTGTGTGTAGACAAAATCTGAAGAGTCAGAGTCCTTGTCTGTTGCCATGTCTTCCTCTTTAGAAGAATCTTTTTCCTCTGGGGCAGAGGATGTCACAGATGATTCAACTAAGTCTTTAATCGCACTTTCTAATAATACAATAGTGATTTTCTCCTTTTCTTCATTCAGGGGACTATCTGTTGGTTTTAAGGGAATTTCTCTCCTTGTAACTTCCTCTGTAGTTGATTTTGTAGCTGGGTTTCTGTATTGGGAAAACCCACATTACTACTTTGAAGGTCACTTGTGATTTTAGCTTGTTCTTTATATCTGCGATAGTGGTCTCGAAGAGCAAGAGATTCTTGAAACTGTTTGCAATTCTTCTTAATATGGCCTTCTTGGTCGCAGAAAAAACATATGCTGAGGCTGTTCTCTATTCTGTAGTGACCTTATTGTCCCCTACATGGGTGAAACGTGGTAGATTCTTTTCTAATTCTGGGTCATCAGTGGTTTCAAAATTGATGATCCACTGATCCGTTAAGTATGGGGTTCCTTCAATCAGGAGAGGTTTGATGGAGTTGATTTTGTCTATATTCTCAAAGGCCTCTTTGATAAGGGTTGAAACCTGATCTCTATTGCCTAATGGTACATTTCTAATCTTGACCGACAAAAAGGATTTTCGAGCATCTGTTGGGATATAACCCATATAAGTCTTGTTAAAGATTTTTACTCCTTTTGTAGCATAGTCTCTAAGCAAGCCAAAGCTTGTAAAAACAATTTCTAGTTGTGAGCGTGATCCTCTTTTGAGGTGTTGTTTAATTGCTACAATATCATTGTCTGCACTCTCATGGAGTGAGGAGACAATTTCATTGAATGAGCTCAGAAGTTGGGATATGTCAATAATAAGTGCATTATCATTTTTGGACTTGATTTGATCTCTTGGGGAGAAGGTAGAGTATGTGGCTTGTCCTCTTGTAAGTTTAGGGGAAAGGTTCACCAATTGCCTTGGAGAAGAAGATTGAGGTTTCTTGTCATTGTGAGAATAGGTAGAGTTAATGGTCTCTACTTGTCTGTATGGGTTATTCTCTGAAAATTGTGCCCCTTGATTTGCATGATGGTCACATGAAGGGCTCAGGACCACTGGATCATTTTTGGACACGTGTTTTGTTTTAATGTTTTGTTTATTCTCTTTGTTTACTTGTAGAGATGTGATTGAAAGGTTCCAAGGGTTTTTCTGTTGAACCAAGTCTGCCCAACTTTCTTTCTTGTCTGTTTGCAGAGTATTGATAGAGTTCTCCAAAAGTTCAAAAGTATTGTTGTTGTTTGTAGTCTAACTTCCGATAAGGGAAGGTTGTTTTTGTTGTTCTCTTCTTCATTAGAGACCTTAACCAGATCTGTCATTTTGAGTTTTTTGTGGGTTGCTCTTGAAAGTGTTAGTTGAAAGAGTCTTTTCTTTTTTGGTATGAGGGCCTTGGCCCTTGCTGGGCTTGATTTGAAAAAGTTTTCTTCCTTGCTTGGAGTAATTATTTTGTGTTTTGTTAAAAACTCTATTTCTGCCAAATGTGTACAAGAAAGAGTTGTGTAGATTTTCACTTTTAAGAGCATGATTAAAAATCCATCTGATTGGTTGTCGATCCTTGAATTTTCATTGGCTGATTTTAGTAAACGTCCTGTACAGAAATACAATCGATTATATGAAAAGTCGCCAGCAAATCAGATTATACCAGATTAAATTTGCAAGAAGCAAGTAACTTTGGAGAACAAAATTCATTTAAAGTTTCATTAGCAATTTATTATGTACATTTATTATTTGCACATAGCAAGTCATAAATTTGTATAATTAACAATTACTGAAATTTTAAGGAAATTTTGTTTGTTAATATTACTTGCTTCTGACAAATTTAATCTGATATAATCAGATTCGTTGGAGACTTTTCATATGATTGATCTTATTTTTATATATAGTGTTACTATGATGATCGACAGCCAATCAGATGGATTTTAATCATGCTATTTTTAAGGGTAGAGGATATGTAGATCATTTATCATAGGATTTTTGTGGTACAACGTGATTTTTACAAAAAATAAAATATGCTACTAATAAAACTTTTTACTGTTTTAATTAATTTTTGTAAAATTTTTATATTATATAGATTAATATCTATTTTTTATAATAGTAAAATTTTTAATAAATCAAATATTTAAAAAAAAATATATTTGTATATATTGTAAGTTTTCCGTAGTCATTTCAAATTTTCCGGGGTTACACAAAATCGTTGATTTTGATTGGTTTATATCATATGATCATCATATATATGATTTTATAAACAATTTATAATACTAAATATTTAAATACATGTATCTCAATGAATATCTAACCAATTTTAATGATTTTACTACCATTAGAATCAGAAAGACCTGTTTTAGGAATTTAAAACAAGTTTACTTAATAAAATTTTCTTTAACTTTTAAAAGAAAAAATTTACCATTAGTTTTATATATAATTTGCAAATAGTATCCTCTACCCTTAATCATCGGCAAAAATTTTATTATGTAAATCAATGCTTTAAATGTAAAATTATATAGAAAAATTCCTGCCTTATATGATGGTATAGTTAACTTATTTTTGTGAAAAATGCCATAAACTGTGTTTTAGTTAATGCTGCTCCATATATCCAAGACACTTTTTGAAGAATCAGCACAACTTTTTTCTGTACACATTCAGCAGGAATAGAGTTATCAACAAAAAACAAAATAACCACTCCAAGCAATAAAGAAAACTTTTTCAAATCAAGTCCAGTAAGGGCCAAGTAGTGTTCCAAATTGTTAAAATTTTATCAACCAGTTAGTTGCCAACTATAGTTGGCAACTAACCAGTTATGTACATCACGTGATATTTTCAAATATTAACCAATCAAATCCAAGAAATTATCCCAAATTATTCTGAATAAGTGGAATATCTCAGAATTATATTAATTGAATAAATAGTTGGTTAGTTGATTAAAAAATTTTCTAACCGGTTAGTTGGAAAGTTGTCAACTATTTAGTTTTCCAACTAATGATTTGGAACACTAGAGCCAAGGCCCTCATACCAAAGAAGAAAAGTCTCTCACTTTACACTTCCAAGGAACCTAATACCACTCCTTATACAAACAAGAAAGAAAGCTGAGCTAGTGTTCCAAATTGTTAGTTGAAAAACTAAATAGTTGACAACTTTCCAACTAACCGGTTAGAAAATTTTTTAATCAACTAACCAACCAATCATTCAATTAATATAATTCTGAGATATTCTGCTTATTCGGGATAATTTGGAATGATTTTTTAGATTTGATTGGCTAATATCTGAAATATCACGTGATATGCATAACCAGTTAGTTGGCAACTAACCGGTTGGTAAAATTTTAACAGTTTGGAACACTAACGGGGCTCCAACTATCGAAAAATAATCTGTATAGACAATCGGAAAATTTTATTTCTACCCGAACTCTAGATGTTAAGAAACCGCAACCTTCTGCTCCAAAACAATAGGCAAACCTCTTTCCTAAACTTACTAGAGGACAGGCCATGTACTCAACTTACTCTCCAAGAGAACAAATTAAATCTAAAAATGATAATACACTTATCACTGACATATCACAATTGCTAAGCTTATTCAATGAAATTACCTCTTCTCTCCATGAGAGTGCAGGAAAGGATATTGTAGCAATCAAGCAACATCTTAAGAAAGGTGCATGTCACAATTGGAGATTGTATTTGCAAGCTTCGGTTTACTCAAAGAATATGCAACAAAGGGGTCCGAATTTTTAATAAAACTTATATGAGTTACATCCCAACAGATGCCTGTAAGTCATTTTTGTCAGTTAAAATTAGAAATGTTCCATTAGGCAACAGAAACCAAGTTTCAACACTTATCAAAGAAGTCTTTGAGGACATTGGAAAAATTAATTTCATTAAACCTCTCCTAATTGAAGGAACCCCTTACTTAACAGATCAGTAGATTATTGTTTTTAAAACCACAGAGAATCCAGATTTAGAAAAGAACCTCTCTCGTTTTACCCACATCAGGGACAATAAGGTTACTACAAAATGGAGGACAGTCCCAGTATTTGTTTTTTTTGTGATCAAGAAGGTCATGTTAAGAAACAACCTTCAAAGTGACAACATGGGTCCTCTTAATATGGAATCCTCAATACTGAACTCAGATAAGAACAAGACAGTAAGAAAGGAATCATCTTCAGAATTGATCGAAAACGACTCTGATATAAAAGAGAATAAGATCACTATTGCCTTGCTCGAAAATGCAATCAAAGATATGGTAGAAACAACAATCACATCCTCTCTGCCAGAGGAAAAGAATAATACTAAAGAAGAAGAAACATTGATGGTCAAGAAATCTAACTCTTTTAATTTCGTTTATATACAATCACCAGCTCCAAATACCTTGAAACCTCAGGATCAGATTGCTCCAAGAGATGAACTTACATTAAATAATCCTTTAAAGATTAAGCAAAAGTCAACAATACTCGGCCAGAAGGAGTTGATGAAGATGGTTTTACACCAGTGATGAATAAGAAAAAACAAAAAAAGATCAATAATAACAAAACTAGACAGGGCTATCTTAAGACTTCTTCTTACAAAAGAGCAAAGGGAGAACACACCTCCCTACTTAACTAAAATATTACTCTTTCTTCATGATAGTAAACAAAAAAGTTTACATAGCAACCCTCAATGTAAAGAGGCTTAACAATAAGGAAAAACAATGAAAAACTTTAACTTTACTTAAATCTTATAAACTAGACATAATTCTTCTACAAGAAACAAACTTGGAGAACCAAATCACAAAAGACTTTCTTAAAAAACAATGGCCTTTTAATTCGATTTGGGCTGACAAAACTGCTATATTAGCAAGCAAGAAAGAAATTAAGTTACAGGATCCTCAGACATCTCATGGAGGAAGGATCATATCTACAAAAATTGCTTACAAGGATCACCTGTTTCATGTCACTAACATATATGCCCCTCCAAACAACAAAGACAGAAGTGAATTCTTTAAGAGATGGAGTCCATCCTGGGATGAAGAATCAATAAATATACTTGGTAGAGACTTTAATATCAATACAGATCCTGAGACAAACTGAGTCAGTCAAGCTACAGCACAATCAGATTCAATGCATTTACAACTCAAAAACCTTACAAATAAATTCATTGACTCAGCAACTCTTGAAGAGAGTGGTCCTTTATTGACATTTTTTCAGAATATATGAAATAATTAAACTATGGCAACTAGACTAGATTATATTTTCATCAATGAAAACTTTGTTTCACTAGTGGAAAAAACAGAAACCTTATTCAGCAATTCAGATCACCTATTAGTCAAATGCATCTCAAATCACTTAAGACTCCAATATCTTGGAGATTCGAGAAACAGTATTTCATTTCAAGAATAAACTTATAGAAAAAGAGGTTATAGCAGAAATTAATTCATTTAATTCTGTAGCAGATTGGAACTGGCACAAAATTTGAATTTAATCGATCATAAGGGCCTTCAGGAAACCCAGGGCTCCAGAGAGTAGCTTGGCTCTATTAAATAGAAAGATGACCAAATCAAAGGAAAAACTAGCAAAGAACCCTAGTCAGCTGCATTTACATACAATAGTCAATGAATTAAATCTTCAAATTCAGGATGAACTGCTACAATTAGCAGATAGATAGCAAACACGCTCTAAAGCAAGTTTGGTTGAGCAGGGGGAAAAGTCAATGAGATACTTCTTTTCAAGATTCAAATCCCGTACAAACTCTTTCGGACTAAAGCTTTACAAAGAAGAAAGGATTAACCTAGATGCAGCAACAACCTTGACAACTGGTCTTCCTACTATCCCTTCCTCAGAGAATAAAGAGCTCTCTTGGGTGATCACAAAAGAAGAAATAATTGAAA